TCATTCTCTTTCTTTTCTTTTTTTTTTTTTTAAATAGAGGCTGGTCTCAAACTCCTACTCAAGCAATCCTTTCACTTCAGCCTCCCAAGGTGCTGTGATTACAGGTGTGAGCCACTGTGCCTAGCCTGCAATGTCCATTCTCTAAGAAAGACCAAAGTGCTGCTCAGCACCACTTTCCACGATCTCAAGTCCTTGTAACCTTCACCAATCTCAGCTAGACCAAGCAAGAATGTTTGCAATACAACCACCTGTGTGTCATCATGCCTCCTATTTGCATTAGAAACTTCTGATGTACTTTGAAGATTGGCTGTTATGTTATCTTTGTGGGTTGTCTCACAGGTAAAGAAATTTTAAAATAAAGGTTTTTGGGTCTTCTAGTAACAAAATAAAACAAAATAAGTAAATAAAAAAATTTTAATGGTAGTGTTTAACATAACTCACAGGAAAGTGAACGCTTTTTGAGTATTTACTGTGATGTCTCACAGATGGCATATACGTTTACCTTCTAGTAACACCAGCAAGAACCAAAAACATGAATGAGATAGAATAAAATATTCCTGGAACACAGCTGGCAAAAACTTCTTCCTAAGATGGTCACAGTGCTTCTGGTCTTTGAATGAGGATCACGCTTTTTTTCATCATATGCGTGTAAATGTGACTGGGATAAGGCATACTGACAGTGTCGCCATGTTGAAAACCCGTTATACCCACCCCTTTGCATTCATGGAGGGGTTGGTTCCAGGATGCCCCCCAAATGCCAAAATCCATACTGTGCTCATGGTCTCTTATATAAAAGGCCGTAGTATCTGTATGCAACTTACACACTCGTATACTATAAATCATCTCTGGACTACTTAAAATACCTAATACAATGTAAGTGCTATGTATATAACGGTTATACTATATTACTTAGGAAATGATGGCAAGAACAAAAGTCTGTACATGTTTAGCACAGATGCAACTAACCTCTCTTTTTTTCTGAACATTTTCCATCCATAGTTGTTTGAATCCACAGACATGAAACCCAAAGACATGGAGGCCCAACTGTACTCTCCAAGCAATCTACATGTTAAAATGCCTTTGCCAACATAGGTACCAAAAAATGGAATGTCATTTTCTTTCAGAGAGGGAACAAAATAATACTTATTCTTGAAAGCCAGTTACAGAAGTCTCCTTTATAGAAATATTGAAGTCCTACTCATCTTCAAAACGTTTTAGATAATTGAGTGCCTGATACCAATAGCACCAGCAGCTCTCCCTAGAATGGATCAATAGATGGCAGATAGTCAGGACTTTGGAGGACTTAAAAGAAAGAAAACACAATAAGACAAAGCTTACTCAAACAAAAGTTTAGGATTGATATTGATTCGGGGCAGGCAACTATGAGGAAGAATACAGATATGCAAAGACTTCTAAGAATTTCTGCAGAGGATAACTCTGTCTTTAGCCTTCTGATACTCTGATCCCAGCAAAGCATCTCTGTCAGGTGCCTGTAAGTTCTGAGGTTCGGATCTCAAGGTAAATCGTGTTTTCTTTGGGCTTTGCTTTCCTGTAGCAAAGGAAAACCAAAAGAGGAGTTAAAATAAATAAATAAGTAATCAACGTGTTGATGGAAAACTGTTGCAAAGTCATACATAGGAATAAATCTATAAAAAAAAAAAAAAAAGCAAGGATAGCAAGTGACAGGAAGCAAAGGGATTGACAGGCAAGAATGTTTGCAATACAACCACCTGTGTGTCATCATGCCTCCTATTTGCATTAGAAACTTCTGATGTACTTTGAGGATTGGCTGTTATGTTATCTTTGTGGGTTGTCTCACAGGTAAAGAAATTTTAAAATAAAGGTTTTAAACTCAGCTTGTGGGCCAAATCGGGCTTCCAGCCTGTTTGTGTGTGGCCCATGAGTTAAAATTAGTTTTTTTACATGTTTTAATAGTAAAAAAAAAGTCAAAATCAAAATATCTCATGGCACTTAAAAAATTAAATGAAACTCGTGTTTTAACACCCAAAATAAGATTTTAGTGGAACCCAGACATGCATTTCTGTATGCATTGTCTATGGCTGCTTTTCCAAGGTAGGGCAGAGCAGTGACAACAGAGACTATGTGACCCAAAGTCTGAAATATTTACTACTCGGCCCTTGACAAAGAGAGCCTGCCAACACATAGAAGATGGATCATGTTGCTGCCTCGTCAGTCATTTGATAGTAGTCAGCCTTCCATTTTGAGTCTGGTGACTTTGGGGGCACCTGTCATGATTCTCCTCATCTGTGGAATGGGCATAACAACAACAATAACAGTAGCTGCCCCATAATGTTTTAGCTTAAGTGAGGAGCGCATGACGTTTTCAAAGAGACAGACACAGAAACAGTGAGTGCTCCATGAAGCTTGGCTAGAGTTACAATTACTCCCATTCCTGATGTTTTACCCCTGAGAGTAGGGAAGAAGCGATTGTCAGGCTCTCTCTGGCAATGGACTGTGGCTACTACTTATGGAATTGTTATAGTGAAGACAGTCAATGAACTAAGCGATTATTATAGTGTGAAGAATATGGTTGACAACAGCGGATACTCGGGGATGCAGGGCTCAGAAAAGGGATGGTTAGGGCGGTGGAGTGCTTAAGCACCACATCCTAAAATAGATGACCACATGCCTGTTAACAAATATGAGACAACTTTCAGTCAGGTAATACAACATTAGCTCTATATTTCTACCACTTGGGACAAAAAGGGAGGAAATCAGCAACTAGAAAACATCTTTACTGTTAGCATGTCTGACCCCCAGTACCAAGAAATCCAGAATTTCTCCAAGTGAGGTTTACAGAGCACCTGTGTGGGAGTGATTAAAGGTCAAGGATTTCAGCATTTTAGCAAGCTCTCTTTGTGATTCTTCCACATGCTAAGTTTTAAGAATCCTAAGGAAATAACACAATTTATGAGAATAATAAAGAAAATCTGAGATGTATGTGCCAGACAATGGATTAGCCACTGTCACCTCCTTCATTTCATTGAGTTTTCACAGCAAGTCTCTAAAGAAAATATTACTCTGGTCATTTTGCAGGCATGGAAATTAAGGCCCTGTAGGGTTTAATGACAGTCCCAAAACCTCATGGCCACATAAAGTTTTGAACCCAGGTTATTTTGACTCCATAGACTATTCTCTCTCTACTCTACAAGGACACACAGAATCCCATAGAACTGTGCTTGTAGAGGGCCCAAGAGATGGCCTTTTTCATTGCTTTACGAGTAGAATCTGAAATTCCAGCAAAGCACTCCCTGTCACAAGAATTTTGTGAAGAAAGGCGCTAAGAAGCTGGGCACAGTGGCTCATGCCTATAATCCCAGCAGTCTGGGAGACTAAGGCGAGAGAATTGCCTGAGCCCAGGAGTTCAAGACCAGCTTGGCAACATGGCAAGACCTCGTCTCTACAATTTAAAAAAATATGATGAGGTATGGTTGTGTGCACCTGTATTCCCAGCTACTTGGGAGGCTGAGGCAGAGGGATCATCTGAGCCCAGGAGATTGAGACTGCAGTAGCCATGATCATGCCACTGCACTCCAACCTGGGCAACAGAGTGAGCTCTGATTCAAAAAAAAGAAAGTCGCTAAAGATTCTGAACCAACAATTGCTAACAGAACAGAAGATTGAGTTTTAAATGTTCCCATCTCAGAGGTTTTAGCTCTTGGGGTGAGCTAGGCATCTCAGCACCCCTCCTGTCAACATCACACACAGATCATTCTCTGCCTCATGGTTTAGAACAGATCACTGCCAACTAAAAATGCATATGCATGCTCTCTTTTTCCTTACTATGAAGTCAATGGCTATTTTGTTTTGTTTCCTTCATAGCAGTTCTGGGAGAAATAAAAAGCACACAAATATCTATCATGTCCTCCTAAGACTTCAAGACAGAAGAAATAAAGAATGTGGTGTGATACTACAACCCTTTTCAGAGGCATGTCTAACACAGGCCCCGGATTCACGAGCGCTGTGGGCTTCACCTCTGGAGGTTCTCAGCATCCTCAATGGTCTCCGGCAAAGCAACTCCCTTGGTCTCCGGAAGAAGCAGCGTCATTCCCCCGGCAGCCAGGCCCAGCACCCCTTCAGAGGAAACAGATTAAAATGGAGACTTTTGTGCATAGCCAGTACCGTTAACAGAAAGGATCACAGCTAGGCAACGCAGGTGGGAGAGATGCCATTTAAAATGTTAAAAAGCTGCCAGAAATATTTAGAAATGAAAATGAAAACAATAGGGTAACTGGGGAAATGCCAGAGTAAAAGGGAATATTACCTTGATTTTACTTCCATAAAAGTATAAAGTTCCACAATAACTGGGGTTTAAGGACTAGGGGATTTGCTGCTTCAGATAGGTTTATGCATACACACATGTATATACATAAATACACACACACACATCTGATTAGCTTTCACATATGTGTGGGCAGGATGGGTCCCTTGAATTACTCTCTTTTTCCCTCTTTCCCTATTCCTCTCCTTCTGCTTCTCTCTCTCCCTCCTTCGTCCTCTCTCCTGTGCCCACGACCAGCCATTTCTGCCTTCTATCAAGTGGGCAAGCAGGGTCTTGGAGGTCCCCTGGCCCAGGTTTGGGGAGAAAAATAGTTGATACAGAACTTCGATTTCCACTTAACAAGTAGTTAACTGAGTACTCGCACTCAGTTCCACCCGTCACTGAGCCCATGGCCAGGCTGGAATGAAGGAACAATAAATGCTCCACAAAGTCTTACCAAACAAAATGAGGGGCAAGTCTTGCCAGATCTCCATCAGCCTGAAGACCATGAAAGGGGTGATGATCCCACCCACATCACACAGGGAGGAACACACCATCACTCCGAGGTTCCTGATAAAATGCAGAGGACAAAAAAGATGGCATCTCTGTGATTCACTTTTCCAAATGTCAACCTGGTCCTAGAGCAAACACAGTGCCCACAGTTGTGGCTCACTGTGGGTATTCCGTGTTCAGCACCCCTGCCAACTGCAGGGATCAGGAAAATCCATGTGGACCAGCCCAGAGGGTATTGAGAAGAGGTAACAAACTAAAATGAAAGTGGGTATGAGCCGTCAATTGCCCATGCAACAGAAGAAAGCCTGCCTCTTTTTACATATTTGTTTAAATGCCTGAAATTCCAACTTAGAGTTCCTTTCCTGTGGCAGAAAACTTTGGTCTCTGCTAAAATGACATGTTCCGTGGAGAATGAGATTTAAACTGTTACCAGTTGCTTTTCCCACCTGATGAGTTGCTGGCGATGGTCAGAGCAGGTAGGTGTTCTGCTCTGGGAGAGTCTCTACTAGGGGACCCTCTGATACATGGAGAGATAAGGAAGAGTAGACAGAGAGTATTAAGGAATGGGGGACAAAGAAAGTTAGAGAGGAAACATGTAGAGAAACCACCCACTTGAAATGGCCGTCTTCATTCCTGGTGATATTCTTTGCTCCCAAATCTACTCTTTCTTTGGATTTATGTTAGCATATAATATTATTTTCCATCCTTTTACCTTTAAACTATCTCTCCCCTTATATTTAAAGTGAGTTTCTTGTAGACAGCATGTAGTTTTGTCTCATGTTTTTGTCCAATCTGACAATCTCTTCCTTTTAACTAGAGTGTTTAAACTATTTCTATTTCTTGTGATTACTGATATGATTGGATCTAAATCTATTATCTTACCATTTGATTTCTTTTTGTTCCATTTGTTCTTTGTTATTCTTTTAGTCTTTTTCTGCCTACTTATGAATTGAGTATTTTGAATGAATCCACTTTTTGGTGACTTAATACTTATAACTCTTTATTTTTTAATTTTTGCCTTAGGTTTAAAGTATACGTCTTTAATTCATTAGTCTACCTCCAAGTAATATTATAACATTCCTAGATTGTTTATGAATCTTATGAAAGTATATTTGCATTTCTGCCCCCCCAAAATAAAAATTTGCACAAAATATTATTATTTGCCTTGGTTGTTATTTTAACTCTGGTTGGCAAACTACAGCCCACAGGCCAAATACAGCATTTTAATGAACTTAAAGGCATTTTTTAAAAATAATATGCAAAAAAGACCATGTGTGGCCCACAAAATCTAAAGACTTTACTGTCAGGCCCAATAGAGGAAGGTTTGCCAATCCCTGCTTTAAACAGTTAATTGTCTCTTAAAGCAAATAACCAGAAAAAATAAATATTTCTATTTACTCAAGCAGCTAAAATCTTCACTGCTTTTCATTTTTTGTGTACAGATCCAGATTTCCATCTGATATTGTTTTCTTTTTTTTTTAAAGATCTTAGGGACTAATATTTCCTGTAGAGTAAGTCTGTGGGCAATAAGTTATTTCAGATTTTATATGTTAGGAAAAAGTATTTTCCATCCATTTTTTTGAAACATATTTTCGCTAGGTCAAGAATTTTAGGCTGACAGTTTTTTTGTTTTTGTTTTTTTCATTCAGACTTTAAAGACATTGTTCTACCATCTTCTTATTTACATCATTTCCCATGAGAAATTTGCTGTCATTCTTATCTTTGTTCCTTTGTGTTGTCTTTTTTCTCTGATTGCTTTTTAATATTTTTATGATCTTCCTTTCTTGATGATTTTTGTGGTTAAAATTTATTGAGATTCTTAGATCTGTGCATTTTTAGCTTTCATCAAGTTTGAAGAAATTTTAATCATTATTTCTGTCCCCCTATTAATCCCTTCTACTCTCATCTGCAGACTGCGATTGTATGTATTAGAATTATCCCAAGGATCCCTGATTCTCTCTGTATTTCATTTTTAGTAGTTTCTACTGCCGTCTTGAAGTTCACTAATCTTTTCTTCCATAATGTTGAATCTGCTGTTAATTCATGTGGTGTATTTTTCATCTCAGACATAGTATTTTCTTCTCTACATGTTTAAATTAGGATATTAAAAATTATTTTCCATGTCTCTATTTTACATGTTCAATTTTTTCTCTAGGTTCCTGGACATACAGAATACAGGCATAATAATTGTTCTAAAGTCCTTGTTCACTAATTCTATCATTGGTGTCATTTCTGGACCACTTTAAATTGATATATTTTTTCCCTTCAGTATAGTTTCTCATTTCCCACTTCTTTGCCTGGTAATTTCTTATTGAATACCAGAAACTGTAAAATTTACCTTGTTTGGTGCTGGATTTTTTATTCCTATGAATAAACTTTTTTTTAATTTTTATTTTTATTTTAGAGTTGTGGGGTGCATGTGATGATTTTGCTACATAATTAAATTGCATGTAGGTGAGGACTGGGCTTCTAGCAAGTTCTTTCTCCCCCTGGTAGTGGGCATAGTACCCAATGAGTGGTTGTATGCCCCTTATGCCCCCTCCCTTTCTCTACTAGTAGTGCCCATTGTCAGTTGTTCCCACCTTTGTATTTATGTGCCCAATGTTTAGGGCCCACTTATGAGTGAGAACAAGTCTCATTCATATTTTGTTTTTGTGATAGCTCACTTAGACTGATGATCTCCAGCTGTATCTATGTTGCTGCAAAGAACATGATTTTCTTCTTCTTCATGGCTGCATAGTATTCTGTTGTGTGTATGCACCATATTTTCTTTATCCAGTCCACTTTCTATGGGCATCTGGGTTGGTTTTGCTATTGTGAATAGTTCTGCAATAAACATGTGTGCAGGTGTCTTTTTGGTAGAGTGATTAATGTTCCTCTGGGTATATTCTGAGAAATGGGATTTCAGGTTCATATGGTAGCTCAATTTTTAGTTCTTTGAGAAAACACCACACTGATTTCAACAGGGGTTGAACTAGCTTACATACCCACCAACAGTGTAAGTGTTCTCCACAGCCTTGCCAACACCTATTGTTTTTTTGCTTTTAATGACACCCAACCTGACCAGTGTTAGGTGGTATCTCATTGTAGTTTTGATTTGCATTTCTCTGATGATTAATGAAGCTGAACATTTTTTCGTGTTTGTTGATTGCTTGTAGGTCTTCCTTTGAAAAGTGTCTGTTCGTGTCTTTTGCCCACTTTTTTTTTTTTTGAGTTGGAGTCTCACTCTGTTGCCCAGACTGGAGTGCAATGGCCGCTCCTGGCCACTGCAGCCTTGACCCACGGGGCTCTAGCGATCCTTCTGCCTCAGCTTTCCAAATAGCTGGAACTACAGGTGCGCACTACCACACCCAGTTAATTTTTGATTTATTGTAGAGATGAGGTCTCGCCAAGTTGCCCAGGCAGGTCTCAAACCCGTGGGCTCAGGCAATCCACTCACCTCAGCCTCCCAAGCACGGGATTACAGGTTGAGCCACCGAGCCCAGCTTGCCCACTTTTTAACGGGGTTATTTTTTTTTTCCTGTCAATTCATTTGAGTTCCTTATAGATCCTAGATGTTAGGCATTTGTCAGATGCATAGCTTGCATATATTTTTTTCCCCTTTTGTGGGTTGCCTCTTTACTCTCTTGGTGGCTTCTTTTGCTGCACAAAAACTTTTTAACTTGTTAAAGTCTCACCTGTCAATCTTAGCTTTTGCTGCATTTGCTTTTGAGGACTTGGTCATGAATTCATTGCCTACCCTGATACCCAAGAGAGTGTTCCCTAGCTTTTCATTTAAGATTCTTATAGTTTCAGGTTTCACATTTAAGTTCTGGATCCATTTTGAGTTAATTTTTGTATATGGTGATAGGTAGGGGGTCCAGTTTCATTCTTCTCCATGTGGTTAGTCAGTTTTACCAGGACCATTTGCTAAATATGGTATCTTTTCCCATGTTTACTTTTGTTGGCTTTGTTGAAGATGAGTTGGTTGAAGGTCTGTGGTTTTTATTTCAGAATTATCTGTCCTGTTCCATAGGCCTATATGTCTATTTAGGGACCAGTACCATGCTGTCTTGGCTACTGCAACCTTGCAGTAACGTTTGAGGTCTGAAAGTCTAATATGTCCAGCCATGTTCTTTTTGCTGAGGAATGCTTTAGCTATTCAGGCTCTTGTTTGCTTCCATATACATTTCTGTATTGTCTTTTCTAGGTCTGTGAAAAATGATACTGGTAGTTTGATAAGGCTTGCATCGAATCTATAAATTGTCTTGGCTAGGATGGACATCTTGATGATATTGATTTCCCAGTCCATGAGCATAGGGTGTTCTTCCACTTGTTAGTGTTGTCCTGGATTTCTTTGAACAGTGTTTTGTAGTTCTCAACGTAAAGGTCTTTGGTTAGTGGATGCTGAGGGGTGTGTGTGTGTGTGTGTGTGTGTGTGTGTGTGTCTATGTGTGGCTATTGTGAATGAAATTGTGTTTTTTATTTGGTTCTCAGTCCACTTCTTCTTGGTGTAGAGAAATGCAACTGTTTTTTGCATGCTGATTTTGTATCTTGAGAGTTTACCAAAGTTGTTTATTAGTGTGAAGAGGTTTTTGACAGACTATCTAGGATTCCTAGAAGTAATCTTGAGCTTTTCTTTGAAAATATAGTTAAATTAGGAACAACAAATCAGGAGAAGTCCAATACTTTTGCATCTTACTTTTATACTTTTTCTATTGCAATCATTTGCATAATGTCTTATTCCTTACAATAACTAATAATAAAATTAGAACATTTCTATTTCTTTTCCAGTCCCTTCTTCCATGACCTCATCATAACTGGTTATATCATCTCTTAGAAAATTTTAAAACAAAAGTAGAGGTTGCATTTTACTGACTGTCTTTCTGTTACCTATGGAGAATATTTTCCCTTTTGATTTACTAACATAAATTATACTATTAGATTTTCTAATATCAACTCATCTTTGCACTTCTAGAGTATTTCATCTTAGATATGATATATTATTACTATAATGTGCTCCACTTTTTTATAATATATTGTTTAGGATTTTAAAATCAATATTCGTAAATCATATTTGTCGGTGGTTTCCTTTATCTTTGTTGTTTTTTCTAGCAATATTATGCAAACTTTATTTTTTCATTTTGAAAATTTTCTTCTTTTCCTACGCTTTAGAGCAGCTAACATTTACCTTTGGAATCACTGTGAATTCCTTCTTTATTGTTATTTAGGGTCTTTCCTATCTTATTAGGTACACTTTTTCCATAAATTTAACTTTGATAAGCTCATGACTCTTGCTATAATTTTGTTTGTATTTCCCTAGTGTACTTTTATGCCATCTCTTCTTTTTAATCTTTCTGAAGAAATGTGCTTCACATATGCAGTATATTGTTTGATTTTGCTTTGGAATCAAGTTGAGGAGTTGTCTTCTTTTCATTTTTATTTTTCCAATAAAGAAGTTAAGCCTCGTTACATTTACTTAAATGTCAGAAGTGTTTGGTCTTAATTCTATCATTAGCTTTTTGTCATGCTTTTACTGCTTCTGGTGTCTTTCATTTTTCAATATATGTTGGTTATGTGTATTTTTATCTGATAATTTGGAAGGGTTCTACTTTTATTCAAATAATTATCTCTATAACTTGATATCACACAATTAATGCTGTATTCCTTTTGACAGTATTAGTTTCCTTATGAACAATTATAAAATTGGTATATTTCTGCTTCCTCCTCAAACCATTCCTCCACATCCTGATTTTAGTTGAGTAAATCAGTTTTTAGCATTTGCTTTTATATCTTAAAATATACCTATAATATCACTTAACTTATCAGTTTGTAATGGTATACTTTTCCCAAAATACTGTGTTGAAGAAATCAGTGTATTATTCCATCTCAAACGTACCTTCTCCCTTGTCTATTCAGTCTTTGTTAGTTATAACATTTCTTTCTTGTCAGATTCATGACATTTACATTCTGAATTATAGCTAAAACCACACTCATTTAAATCTCAAATTCAATGATCACCATCAATAATTCTGACATGTTAGTACATTCATCACTGTGTTTACTGAATTATTTTATTCTAGCAGCTTTTTTGGGAAAGATTCATAGGAACAATATTTTCAGAAATATTTTCAAATGTTTGGCTATTGTTTTTACAAATGACTTGAAGTTTGGCTGGATAAATTTATTTGGTTATGCTTTATTTTCTTGAGGTCACTGTAGGCATTATTTTACTGCCTTCATTGAATAATACCAATTTGTTCTTGCTATGTAAGTGACTTAAACTTTTGCCAGCAACCTGATGAATCTTGCTTTATCTTCAAATTATAGTAACTCAATGAAAATATGTCTTAATTTTTTTCACTACTTTCTGGTTTCCTTTTCACTGTTTTTCTTCTTACACACGTCCCTTTAATTTATAGGTTCAAGCTTTCTTTTATTTTAAGATGTTTTATTGTAGTTGTTTCATTATTTCAATTATCTTCTTTGGGAGATATGTGTATATATCTCTCTTTTAATAAGTTCTTTGCTTATTTCTATTTTACTTTGCAATCCTTAGTCCTGTCTGTCTTTCCTTCACTATATCTATTTTCCTTTGTACTGCTTTCAAATTAGTTTTTATTTCTCAGATTCAAGAATATCTCAAATTCTTAATTTTTTTCTTTCTTTTTTTTTTTACTATTTTAAGAAAATAAGTATCAAGAAATTTGCAAGCACACAGAAGCTAGAAGACACGGGGAACTGGTGCCTATTTAATTGGAATTAAAGAGAAAATATTCTATATTTAACTCCTATTTTTAAGGTACTTAATTTATTTAGTACAAGTGTGCAGTGGTTGGTTAGTATAGCTACAGAACAGTTTTGTGAAGTACAGAGAAGTATGTTGGGTGGTTCCCATTTTCAAGGAGTTCATAATATGGTAAGGATATAAAAATTGAAGATAATTTTCAAAATGATACAGTGGGTATTCATGCCAAATGAATGTCCTGACAACATTTGCTACACAAAGTTACAAGGAGGAGAGCTATCCAACTCTGAAGCCTTCCAGGAAAGGAAGCAGGGTCAAAAATTATTTTAAATAGTAAGTTGTTTGAACTTGGAGTACTTATAAAGTAACAGAAAGTATTCCTTTTTGCAATTTAGATTTGATTCCATTGATTTAAAATACTGGAACTTGCACAACTGGCTTGCATGTGTGCATGCATGTGTATAAACAAGTTTAGCTGTTTCTGAACATCTAGCTTCTCATGCAGGCTCTCTGCACAGTGGTCAAGGGCTCCTCAGAGATGAGTTACTTTGGCCTTTCTCCAGGGAGAGCCAGGCACTCAGTACCTTCAGCAGTTTTTATTTTGATTCAGTCCCTGGGGTCCGGTGACCATGACAATGGAATTGTTTGGCAAGGTTATTTTTGACTCTGGGCTCAGAATGACCAAATATAGAAGGTTTTCTCTTTAATTTGCCTTCATCTCCTTGTATTCACTCAGTCCAAGCAACTTTTTACAAATGAGAGTCTAAGACGTGGGACTTTTAATAAAGTAAAAGACAGGAAAGAGGAAATCAGGGCCATCCTTAGGGCTCAGAGAGCCGTGGATAAGTAAGATGAGTTGGGGGAACTGGAATATTTCTTAGAAACCATCAATATGATGACAAAGGGAGAAAAAGCAATTTATACAAAGGAAAGAAAGAGTTTAAGGTAATATACAAAATCATAACAAAGGTCAGGTTAAGATAATAGCATTTTTTCAAACTATAAATAAAGTGGCTTCATTTACAATTAAAAACATCTTCATTTAAAACTAAGTCTTCCAAGACAGAGAAAGTAATAAGTGCATGCAGAGACACTCAACATTATTAGCAATTAGGAAAAAATAAAATCAAAATAAAATCACTCCTTCCCAGAAGGACTCTTAAAAAGTTGACAACACCAAACACTGATGAGAGTCTGGGGCAACAGGGTCTCTCACACCCTGCTGGTGGGATTACAGAAGGGTGCAGTCACTTTGGAAAATAGTTTGACAGTTTCTCATAGAGTCAAACACATACTTGCCATAGGACCCAGCAATCCTACGCCTAAGTTTTCACCCAACGGAAATGAAAACACGTGTCCACTCCAAGACCTGTACTGAATGTTTATAGCAGCTGTATCATAATCACTGCAAACCAGAAGCAGTCCAGATGCGCCTCATGTGGTAAATGGATAAACGTGGTATATTCACATGCTGGAATACCACTCAGCCCTAACAAGAAACAAAACATTGAGGCCAGGGGTGATGGCTTATGTCTGTAATCCCAGCACTTTGGGAAGCAGAGGTGAGAGAATTGCCTGAGCCCATGGACCCGAGACCAGTCTGGGCAACATGATGAGATTTTGTCTCTACAATAAATTTTTTTTTTTTAAATTAGCTGAGTGTGGTGGCGCATGCCTATAGTTCCAGCTACTTGGAAGGCTAGGTGGAAGGATAGCCTTAGCCCAGCAGATCGAGGCTGCAGTAGCTGTGAGCAGCATGCCACCGCAACAAAGTGAGACTCCAACTCAAAGAAAAAAAAATTGATGCATGCAACAAAGCAGGTGAAAGAAGCCAAACACAAAAGGCTACATGCTGTATTATTCCATATACACACCAACTCCCTGTCCAGTGCTCTGCTTCTCTCCACCAGCCACCTTTTTTCCTATATTTGCCTTAGATACAGAGTATACCTTAACCCCCCACCCCATGTTGTCTGCTCACAAGATGCCATGTCACATTTTCTATTGTCATCAGGGTAGATCCCCTCCTGTCTGCACAACCCCTTTCCTCTGAACACAAGTTCCTAACAATGCCATTTAGTGTCCAAGCTGATCAACCCTTGAGGGCATCACGGGGAAGGACTTGAAGATGTTGGTCCTACCTGAGCCAGCCATGCCCCCTTCTGTGCACTCACCTAATGAACGTAGGGTACAGCTCAGCATTCACCAGGCACATCATTTGGGCCACGATGGTGACTCCCATTCGGCCAATACATGCTACTACAATATTTAACCAGTGCAGATCTACAAGGAAGCACAGAGGGTGTGGGTGATGGGTAGGGGCTTCATTCACACAGTTATGGTGAGAAGCCATGGGGGGTGGGCGGAAGCTTGTGCTTGGACTTTTAGAGTTTTTTGGGGATAAGTAGCCTGAGTCCCAAGATATTTCGGGACTTGATAATGACACATTCAGGAAGACTCCATTGTGTAGAGGAAAGAATGAGCTTTTTGAATCTCAGCTTGATTTCCTGAGCTATAAAATGAGAATAATTATACCCAGCTTATAGGCTGCTGTGAGACTTAGAGTTGATGTATGTCAAATGTCCACTGTGACCACAGAATTTAAAAGTTAGCTTTTTGTTTATCTGCTGCTGGCACAACACCTAAAACATAGTAGATGCTCAATAAATGTAGTTCCCAAACTAATGTAGCACATTTCTATTCCTCAATCAAATATTAGCTCCAATACATTTTAAGCAAAACACGTTTCGTAATAGCCTCAGAGACCACGAATTTGAGAAGTGAGCCCTTGTTTCACCCTGGTGGGCTGCTATGGGGTTCCTGACTGCTGGAAGGTCCAGGAAGCCCTTTCCCTCTTGGGGGTACTTAAAGAATTGAGCTTCATCAGAAGGAACCTCAGATCCTTAATAATCACTGCCACCTGCTCTACCGGGGTCACCACCCCACTAAAATGCAAGTGACATGCCAGCTCACTAAAAAGTCTCTGGGATCACAGGCATTATGTGTTCTTGACCCTCATCCCCACATAATGGCTATTATGAAGTATTGATTTAATTCACTCAGCTGGCGTAAGGTTGCAAAAGAGAGTGGACCTTGCTCACCCTATGGGTCTCGGATCCCTAAGGCTCTCAGTCCTGATGGAGAACCCTAGCCGAGCCCTCATTCACACCTCCTGTAGCTTCTATAAAGTAAAAGACGAGGAGTTCACTCAGAGGCCCAAGGGAGGGCATGGTCCGAGTTCTCTGAGCTGGCGAGAGCTTCAGTGGAGCTGAACAGCATCACTGGTCTCAGAGAACCAATTGCGTCTCCACTCAGCACCACACGGGCCACTCGTTACAGCAGCCAGTAGGGTCCATCTAAAATAGCTCTGGTTAGGCAGGCTCGTGGCTCAGCCTGTAATCCCGCGCCTTTGGGAGGCTGAGGTGAGTGGATTGCCTGAGCCCGCGGGTTCGAGACCCACTTGGGCAGGTGAGACCTCATCTCTATAATAAATCAAAAAATTAGCCGGGCGTGGTAGCGCGCGCCTGTAATTCCGGCTACTGGGAAGGCTGAGGCGGAAGGATCACCGGAGCCCAGCAGGTCGAGGCTGCGATGGCCGGGAGCAGCCACTGCACTCCAGTGTGGGCGACAGAGTGAGACTCCAACTCAATAAATAAATAAATAAATAAATAAATAAATAAATAAAATAGCTCCAGTTGAGTCCGTCCCCTGCTCGAAGCCATCAATGGCTTCCTCTGGCACTTGGGATAAATTCCAAAGCTGGCTGTCTCCGGGCTACCCCATGCTTCATTCACTAAGACTTCTCCCACTTGCCCACCCAATCCTACTCCTTGGGTCTCAAGAGGTCTCCCCAATGCCACACTCTGCCCACCCCTGCAAGGTCCTCTCACCTGCCTGAAACAGTCTTTCCCCAGATTTTTACATAACTCACTCCCGCTTCATTGAGGTCTCTGAAGGTCTCCTCTGCCTTAAGGAAGTGACTTCCCCCTCACTCTTGATCCTTCTCTCTTTCCCCCTAGAATGTCAGCTCCATGGGGTAGGAGCTTTTACTGCATTGCACTGTTGGGACCCTAGGACATACATACATGCCTGCCGCATCAAAGGTCTGGAGAGAGTTCCTGCAGGAGGAATGAGTGATTATCATACAATGTGAAAAGGACTAAGCTGGGGCACATAGTGAGTGCAGGAGTTGGGGTCTGGGGAGGGGACAATGCCTGAGCTCTGCCCAGGTGAGGATCTAAGGGACTCAACCTTCAGTCATCCTCCTTCCCAGCACTGAATGTTATTGCTGTCTAAAACGCTGCCCATTTGTCACGTCTTATCCAGGTTTCAGAAACAGGGAGACAGGGGAGAAAATGGGGAAAAACCCATTACAAATCCACTCTGTCCCTTTTCCTTTCTTCTCTGTTTTCTCCCCACAAAAGGAGAGAGAAGAAAACTGGGCTTTCTTTTCCCACCCTTTTCTTTCCAGCCTGATCTATACAGCCTGGCTCTTGAGAATACAGATTTCACGGGATGTTCTCCACTACCCCCAGCATGAAAGCTGCCAGAATGACTCACTACACCAACGAGAGCTGAGCACAGCCAACAAAACCCGATAAAATAGCAGCTCTGCCTTTGTGTTTATTTCACGTTCCCAAAAGCAAAAAATGTGAAAAGCAATTTATGATTAAAGCAATTTATGACTAACATTAACCTGCTTTAGGTTTAAATGTAGCTTGGTTTATTTTGGATTGTAAGGACCACAAATGAAAGTACACATCCACCAAAATGGCCACTGTCGAAAAGACTAGCAGGGTCAAGTGTGGGTGAGGATGTGGGATGGTCAGAACTCTCGCAGGGGGAGTGTACAGTGGTCTCATCATGCCGGAAAGCTGTTTGGAAGTGTCTACCATAGCTAAACATATGCCTCTTTCAAACTCAGGAAATATAATCATGGACCTGTACTTAAGGGAAACTGGGGGTGCCCACACATGCAAGAATGTCTTTATTCCCAGTGAGTGGCAAACTCTGGCAACAATACAAGTGACAATTCACAATGAAATGGATAGACAGTGGACATTCATATAAAGGAATGCTACACAATAATTTTTTTTAAAAGTACAAACTAGACCAGGCAGAGTAGCTCATACCTGTAATTCCAGCACTTTAGGAGGCTGAGGCAGGAGGATCACTTGAATCCAGTAATTCAAGACCAACCTGGGCAACATAGCAAGATCTCAACTTTACATAAAAATCAAAAATAAAATTAGCCAGGTAACCCTACAGGGTGGTATGTGCCAGTAGTTCCAGTTATTCAGGAGGCTGAGATGGGAGGATCATTTGAGTCCAGAAGGTCAAGGCTTCAGCGAGCCAGAATCATGCCACTGCACTCCAACTTGGGCAACAGAGTAAGACACTGACTCAAGTTAAAAAATTAAAAAGTACAATCTCAAACAAGTGGGGACCAAAGGGAGGCCCAAACTTTACCTGTACAATATCTACTTGTATACCTAATCCTGAATTGTACCTACATCTTTGAAATAAAATATAAAACAATTAAAAAGTACAAAGTACACTCTTATGTGAAACTACAGTCACATAATGATGTCATATTATGTACAATCACATAATGAACAATATGTATAATCACATAATAGTGCAATGATGAAAGAAGGAAGGAAGACCAAAAAAAGGAAGAAAAAAGCAAAAACAAGAAAGGAAAATATTTGGGGTTGGGCACAGTGGCTCACGCCTGTAATCCCAATACCTTTGGAGGTCAAGGTGGGAGGATCACCTGAGGCCAGGGGTTGAAGACCAGCCTAGGCAACATAACGAGACCCCATCTCTACAGAAAATAAAAAAAATAATAAAAGAGTATATTTGGTATGGTTCCATTTATATGAAGTTCAAAACAGTCAAAATTAATCTGTGGTGACAGAGGTCAAAGGAGTGGTGATCTTGGTAGGGGCGGTGGGTATTGGTCACACAGGAGCACAAGTGAACCTTCTAAGGGGTTGCGAATGTTCTGTCTCCTTTTCTATGTCACGCCACCCGAGTGTGCAGAGTTGGACACTTGTAGGTTACTCTTCAAACATATGTTAAACCTCAATTTAATTTTTTTAAATTGTGCACTAAGGTAGCACCTTGTCTTTGTTCTTGTTCCAGAAACTTATCAAAGAGTTACCACACTATTCCCACCAATCGAATTTTTGGAAAATGATGAAAATGGACAACTCACCATGTGAGATAAAAGTCATGACGAAGCAAGCCGCTCCCGTCACCAGATATGACACAGCCAATGGGTAAAGGCGACCAATGCGGTCAATGATGCCAAGGATGATGAAGGCCGCAGGGAATTCAACCAGAGATGAGTATAAAAAATCCAGATGGCGGTCCCCACCTGTGGCACCCATGTGCATGATGAGTCCCAGGTAGAGCACAGAGGTGACAAACCTGAGCACAAGGCAAGGTCGGGTCAAGGGCAAGCTCTGTGAAAGAGGAGTGACAGGAAGAAGCCCTCCACCAGCTCCCTTGATTTTGATTTAGAATGTTCTACAGGAATCTGAGGCTAGGGGAGTAAAAATCAGAAAGAGTGTCCTAGAAGGGCCCTTGCTGAGAAATTTCCCTCATCATAGATGTGAGAGTATGACTTCTAGGAGATGTCCCCCAAGTCGCCCAGGATTGCATTGCATGGATTGCTACAGTTCTTTACTTGGGTGTCTGGCCCTGCACCAAGCACACGTGTGCATAATCCCACCTGGCACTCCAATAGGCCTACAAGGAGCTAGGTAGGAGAAGGGAGGACGTGAGGGAGCAAGTTCAGGTGTCAGAGTACTTTATGAGTTGTGTGGCTTTGAGGAAGTTAACTAATCATACTGGGCCTCAGTCCCCCATCTGTAAATTGGGTAATGATAGTACCTACCGCACTGAGTACTCATTGAACAAGTGAACAAAGTTGCCTATTAGAGATCCTGACATATAGTAAGCACTCCATAAAGATGGGCTTTTATTGTCATTGTTGCCATCGTGTCACTTTTGGGGAAACAATATTACTTTGGAAGGTAGAAACCTCTCATGATCACTTTAGGGTTTACATGATGAGAAGAGATTTGGGTCAATAAGAAATTCCCGTCATTTCCCAGCATGTAAATGGTCTATCACCTTCAAAACTGAGATCACAACAGGAATGTTTCTAACTAATATACCTCCTTGTTTTACAAAACTTCACCCAGAGAAGCATTGGGATGCTTTTGTTTCTAGTCCCAATTATTCGTGATTGAACAAAAGTGTCAAGAGAACAAGAAGGAAAGTGTTTGCCTACAGCTTAGTGAGTTTAGATAAGCCAAATCCACCCCCACACTCATGCCATTTAGTCAGTTAAAAGACAACAGTCACATATTGCTGATAAAGAGATTGATCTAAAAAAAGGAAATGTATAACCTTGATTTTCCTGTCAACAAACCAGTTAACAAACGCACCAGGCCACCATCTTTGAGCAGAACCCATGAATTGCACATACATGTCAAAGTGACAACTTGGGAGTATCGAGTGTTTCCTGTATTCATGTCAGACCCCATTCGAAGTTCTTTACACATATTATCTCATTAATTCTCCCAACATGCCAATGAGTGAGGTACTATCATCACTCCCAATGCTGAGGAGGAAGCTAAGTGTCAGAGAGAAAAAGGTCCTGGGGGGGTTCACACGGCCAGGAGGTGGCGGGCAGGTTCCCAAGTCCTGTAACTTCAAGTTCGATGGGAGGAGCTGTCCAGGGGCTGGACCCCATAAGGCCTTGTGGGCCACAGAGAGGGATTTGGCATTGACTCTCAATGGATTACGAAGCCAATGAAGGCATGGGTGAGGGAGGGACAAGGTCTGTTGAGCTTTATGGGATCCCTCTGACTGCTCTGTGGAACGTGTCCTAAGGGGCAGGAGTGGACGCAGACAGGTAGGTACCTGTCAGAAGGTACCTGCAGCAACAAGGACACCAAGAGTACACGTGGATAGACCCTGTAGATATTTGTAAGACAGAACTGATGGACTTGGCCAAGGGATTGAGTGGTGAGGGTGAGAGAACAGTGGAGTCATAAATGCCACCTTAGGAGCACACTAGGGGTGGAGAAAAGGAAACTGAGTCAGGGGCAGAGTCAGCAATTATATTCACCTGCAGTGGTTCCAGCCTCTGCTCGGAGGACATGTCACTAAGTCGAACACTGCGTATCCATGGAAAGCCACCAGGTGTGTGTGGCTGTTTGTATAGGCTCATGGGCCCCGTGTGTGGCTGGACCCAGGATCCCAGGGACAAACTCGGAGACAGGGTGGGTGAATGGTGAGGCAGGACAGCACCTAGTGAGCCTGGTGCCCAAAGAGTTTAGATGGATTTTGTGGAATGCTGGTTATTCATTCAAGTTTCAGCAAATATTTATTGAGGGTCTACTATGTGCCAGCCACTGCCCTCCTAGCTCTAACTGTCCAAACAAAACCTCAACAAATGAACAGGTATTACAGGAAAGCAGAGCAGCTCCGGTTAAAGGAGGAAGGCCCAGGGTACAATTGCTGAGCTCCAGGTGTATACAAAGGAGAAAGCCCTTGTGTTGAGGAGTTGACACAACATCTTCTGAGGGGACAGCACAGGGGGAATTTCTCCTCGTGACAGCAACCAGAAGAAGAGGCAGAGCCTGGAAGAATGCGGGGCACATGTGGGTAGATCCATCTGGGTATGCAATTCCTAATCGACAGATAATAAGTACACAGATTTTCTCAGGTAGGGTCTATATGGTGTCTGGATGTGAGGAAGGAAGCTCCCTCCCTGTAAGACTCAGGAGCCCAAGATCCCCCCACATTTCATATTGTCCGGCTATTCCTGGAAGATGAGACCATGAAATGAGGGCAGCCTTGGAAACCCCTTATCATATTTCACTTGCCTCACTGTTGGCCTCTCCTAGGTAACACATTCTTGCTAAATGAAGCCCTTTCCCCTTGATTCACTCCTCAAGGGAGAAATCAGAGCTCTCTGACAACTCAGCAGCTATATGAAGATCCTTCTCACCTTTTCTCTTTTCCACCTGAGCTATCCCACTGACTTTGACTTGCACCCCCACGTTGGGGCAGGCACACCAAGGCAGGCTTGGGGGACACAGAGGAATCGCCCCTTACCACAAGTACATCAGGATGAAGGTGTGCTTCCTCAGGTGCGGGGTGCGGAACAGGTCAATGAATGAAGGGCTCAGCTTTTCCGTGACATCCTCTTCAAGAGACAGCGCCTGGGAGGAAGTCAGAGCATCAACCACACAGCCAGGACAGCTGCATCAAGCAGGACAGCCCCTGAGGCCCCAGGGCTGGCCATTGCCACTGCTGCACATCACATCCATGACAGGACTTGCCTCTTCTGCTTCCCAAGGCAGCCCCTCAGGCATCTTCTAAATCATAAACCCAGCCCCAAATCCAGTGACGTGAGAAACCCCTTCCTAGCTTTGTCACCTTTAAATCAGGAGGTGGCACTGTTCCATTCTTTTGAGCGATGTGTTCCATGATCTTTATGGCTTGGGCGGTTCTCTTTTGCGACAACAGCCATCTGGGGGACTCCTGCACACACCTGCGGACACAGTTCATCACGACATGGCATTTTTCCCCAGGACTCCTCTGTTTTGAAGTCCAGAGAACAGCAATGCTGCCTCTCGGTTTAGATCTCACATTGGGACAGTAATTCCTGACACAGCCCATGGATGAGACTCTGGGGTCATGGTGTGCTGGCCCAAGTGGGAGCTCTCGTACTTAGTGCTACCTGCTAAGATTTACAGGCCAAAAGTAAACCCTTGCTTCCTGTGTAGCCTTCTTTCTGTGGATCAGAGGACCTGTGTCTCTTGAAAGGGGCGACCCTTGACCCCCTGGGAAAATACTCATAGTAGATGCGCTATGTGCTGCTCTCCTTCCCCCGCCCCCATTGCAGCAGGATGTCCCCATGCAATACAAGGACTGTGGAACAATTCTCCAGGGATTTCTTAAACAAAATGAAATGTGCAGATGGTGCCTAAAAAATGTATACACATTTTAAGAAAGGAAAATCCTAGCTGGTCTCAGTGGCTCAGCCTGTACTCCCGCGCCTTTGGGAGGCTAAGGTGAGTGGATTGCCTGAGCCCACGGGTTCGAGACCTGCCTGGGTAGGCGAAACCTCATCTCTACAATAAATCAAAAAATTAGCCGGGCGTGGTAGCGCATGCCTGCAATTCCGGCTACTCGGAAGGCTGAGGCGGAAGGATCGCCAGAGCCCAGCAGGTCGAGGCTGCGGTGGCCGGGAGCGGCCACTGCACTCCAGTCTGGGCGACAGAGTGAGACTCTAACTCTAAAAAAAAAAGAAAGGAAAATTCTGTATCAAAATAGTAATACTCAATAAATACCGATAACAATAGATGAATACAAGTCATGTATGACTTCTGCAATTACAAGAAGTGCTCAAAGTGGTTCCTATCAGCATCCAGATACTTCTAATGACAGCAAACTACTGCAGGCCTTGCTGGGCGAGGCCTCCCGGATCTTGCCTTGTGCACATCACACACAGTACCATGTGTCTCAACTTCTCATGAATGTGTGCGATTATCAGGTGTGTTGAAGGTTCTGTTGCATACTCACACCTCCATTGTCATTGTACTTCTACAACATTCTCGAATTTCAAAGACCACTTCAAAATGGTCTTGCATGCCTCTAATGACAACTGTGCTTCTGCCATTTTCTTTGACTGTCATGCCTGTTGCATGGTGATGTTAGCATTCATTTAATGAGCGCCATCTTTTAAGCGAACGTCATATGACACATCACTACCATAATTCAATTCAACTTTGAAAAGTACTATAGATAGCATCACTTAAAATGTGTATACATTTTGTTGGCATCCCCGGTATTTACTTTCCTTTAAAACCAGTTCAACACCATCAACACCATGCCGTCTATTTCAGAGGAATCAAGGATATGACAACTCTGACAAAGATGGAGACTCTCCGGCATATGGGTCTTCACCGAGCCTGACCCAGGACTCTCCTGGAGGTCCTTTCCCCCAAGAGGCCCTTGTTTCACGCTGGCAAGGAGGGAGCAGGTGCCTGTGAATGCCCCGGCCGTCCATGTGCAGCTTTGAGAGGCCAGCTTCTGTCCAGAGAGACAGAGTCAACTCTAGTGTCACAGCTGAGATTTGCTCTCAGCAAAACTGTGATGAAAGATGCAGGAAGGAGACATTTCTCTGCTACACCACAACAAAAACAGACCTGCAGAGTGGCTTCGCTCTTCAGACCCTGCAAAGAGCTGACAGCTAATCAGATGAACACTCACAGGTCCTGTGTCACAATGGCTCAATAGGCTCAACATTCCCCAGAGAACACTGAGCAGCACTGTGATTCATTCAACCAAAATCAAATGTCAGCTATGTGGCTAGGTGAGACGTATTTCAGAGCCTGGTTAATGATACCAATATAATAATAAAAACAAAGAAGCGGGAGAGGAAGAGAAAAGGCAGAAGAGAGGGTCAGAAGAGGAGAGAGAGGGAGAGGATCAAGAAGACAGTGAGAGCATCTGACTTAATGCCAGCACCGTGGAGGAGACTCCAGGGGACTGCCGAAGACTGTAGCCATTGCAGTAAAATCACCACTTCCTGAATCATTTCTATGGCCAGACACTTGACGTAGATTATCTCCAAGATTCTCGAGCCCACTGCAGACACACAGAAAGCTGTCTCCTTCACCCAGAAGCGAGGCTGACCCACTGAGGCCAGTCTCTGTGGTCAGCTTGGCCTTATGTTTCTGGAAGGTGCATATTCTGGAAAGTGCCTCAGGGGGCAGAGCTAGTGCTGTGTCTCCTGGATTTCTGCTTAACTTTCAGTATCTCTCACCTTGATCTCAGGGGGATGTAAGTTTAAAGAGGTTAGCTCCCATGAAACAAGGGTCTCTCAGTAATATCAGAATAAACCTGATGTCACGGTGGCAAAAAGTGCCAGGCTCCAGACAGCCCTACGCCTCATGCATGTGGAAACCGTGACCCTCTGAAAGATGGCCTGTGGGCAGCCCCGGGCCTGTGGAAGGACACAGAGTGGAGGAGGAAGTGTAGCCAGAGCCTCTCCTGCCATCAGCAGGAGGAAAGGCCTTACCAGTAGTAGAGCAGGAAGAGGAAGGTGGGCAGGGACACAGCCAGCTGCAGCCAGCGCCAGTGAGGAAGGACGTAGGCCAGCCCTGGCAACAGCACCAGCCCCAACGTGAAAGCCATCTGGTATAGGATCGCCACCATTCTTCTGTAGCCCAGGCCAACAAATTCTGTGACTGAAATGGGAGACGTGGCCATTATGCAGGAGTCCGATGCGGGGTGGTCAGGAGTTGGGATCTCAGTCCCTGCCTCTCTCCCCAAGAGCCCCTGGAGCCTAGCCCCTACCCCACCTGCTCCTAGGTTTCTCTCTCATGGGGTCCTCTGTGTCTCCCTCCCCTAAACCACAACCTCGCTCAAGCCTCATCTTCTTCCCTGTGTCCTCTGACCAATGGTTGAAGCCCCCAGGATTCACCAGACTGCTTCGTTTAGGGTTTTTCTCTAGCTGTCCCTTTCCTGTCTCCTCATTTGCCATCTACATGTCTCTTCTTCCTGTTCAGGATCCAGCCTGCTGGTCTCTCCTCCCCAAAGCCTTCCTCCTAGAAACTCTGGACAGGACTGGAATGTTTTTCAAGACCACAGGAGTGTTCATTAGTTTAGCAAATATCTCTGAGTGCCTACTAGAGACCTGGTACATTCTGGGTGTCTGGGATGCATCGTGAGCACAAGAGTGCTGCCCTTGGGGACTTCACATTCCTGTGAGAGATGGCAGACACTCCACATCACAAATAAGTAGATTCTACACTATGTGAGAATGGGATACGTGCTATGAGTGGGCAAAAAGTAAATCAGGGGACCGGAACTCAAGAGAGTGGAGGTGGAGTCTTGCTGGTCAACACTGCAGTGTGGACTGGACCCTAAGCTAAGCCTCCCAAGGGTGTGTGGAATGGTGTATATCGGCTGGCAGAACATCACAGGGTCTGGGTACAATGGGCTGAACCAGTTAGACTTTACCAGTGTGTTCACAGTTTCTCAAGGTAGGATTATGGTTTCTCTCGGCCCTAAGGAATGAGTTCTCAGAATGCCAAATGATCGGACCTAGTTTTTAGAGGTGACAAGAGGCAGCTGTTTTTTTCCTCTTCTCCACAAATGAACAAAAACATGGAAATTCTCCCTACCGCTGACGTGCCTGTCCACGGGCTTGAGGAAGGACAGACATCTCTTCATGCTACTTTCCTCCAGGAAAGGCTTTCTTATTTTCTATTCTTACCCTTCATTGACTATTTGAAAGGGAAAACACAGGCCAATATGTGGAACTACTCATAATGGTTTATGCCTCTATTTTTTAAAAAAATCATTGTATTTATTTCTTCTCTTATGTCCTCCTGTCTTCTCACTGCTAACTCCTGACTTTCCAGCCAGTCAGGTTTGTTGTAAGAAGGAGCATTCCTTCCTATGCATGATGTTAAAATATCCTCCCACCTGTCCCCTCTTCCTGCACCCTTTCCCACTGCTGTAAGCACATCTACACGTGTTCCCCTCTTGTTCCCCAAATAGATTAGTTGCTGTGGCAACACTTATCTATCTAAGTGATCTTTCTTTTTTACTTGTATAGATGTTTAAGTACAAGTGCAATTTTGTGACATGCAAAGATCGTGCAGTGGTGAAGTCAGGGCATGTTGGGTATTCGGCACCTGAATAATTTACACTGTACCCTTTAAATCATAAGTGATAGCCAGGCTCGGTGGCTCAGCCTGTAATCCCAGCACTTTGGGAGGCTGAGGTGAGTGGATTGCCTGAGCCCGCGGGTTTGAGACCCGCCGGGGCAACTTGGCAAGACCTCATCTCTACAATAAATCAAAAATCAGCCGGGCGTGGTAGCGCACGCCTGTAGTTCCAGCTACTTGGAAGGCTGAGGCAGAAGGATCACCAGAGCCCAGCAAGTCAAGGCTGCGGTGGTTGGAAGCGGCCACTGCACTCCAGTCTGGGCGACAGAGTGAGACTCCAACTCAAAAAAAAAAATAAATAAATAAATCATAAGTGATTATTTAAGCATCTCACAGACACCAAAGGGAGAGAGGAAGCCATCCTGCCCCCACACTCTGCCCTCGTCACACAGCAACGTCCAAGGAACTCGTGCTACCACAATCTCCCTAGAACCCACAGGCATCCCCCACCCCACCTCCTTGTTCGGCTCCATCCATGCTACCCCAACCTGACTTCAGCCCCGTGCATAATTACTCAGGGTGTAGCCGGCCATCCAGCTGCCCTTGCTGACCAGCCCCTGCAGCAGGCGGAAAAGCAGCATGGATGTGTAATCGGGTGCAAAGGCCATGAGCACGCCCGAGATGGCATTGACGAGCACGGTGGCCAGCAGACACAGCTTACGGCCAAACCTTTGGAGACAAGGAGACACAGAGGGGAAGAGGAAGGCTGAAGTTCTAGGTCAGATGCACACCGTGAGATGCCAAAGATCCCGTCAGAGGTCCACCTCACTGCTATCCTGAGGGACTGCAGGAGTCTGTTGGGACAGTGCAACCCAGCACGTGGCCTACGTGCTCTCAGCAGCACTGTGACCCAGTCACTCTCCAGTCCTCATGCTTGTCTTCTCTCCTTACTTTTGTTTGTTTGTTTGTTTAGAGACACGGTCTTAGTCTGTCTCTCAGGCTGGAGTGCAATGGCACAATCATAGCTCACTGATGCCTCAAACTTCCGGGCTAAAGCAGTCCTCCATCTTCAGCCTCCTGAGTAGGTGGGACTGCAGGCATGTATCCTGCATGTATGCCTGGCTAACTTTTTTTTTTTTTTTTTTTGAGTTGGAGTCTCACTCTGTCGCCCAGACTGGAGTGCAGTGGCCGCTCCCGGCCACCGCAACCTCGACCCGCTGGGCTCCGGTGATCCTTCCGCCTCAGCCTTCCGAGTAGCCGGAATTACAGTCTTGCACTACCACGCCCGGCTGATTTTTTGATTTGTTGTAGAGATGAGGTCTTGCTGCCCAGGCGGGTCTTGAACCCGCGGGCTTGGGCAATCCACTCACCTCAGCCTCCCAAAGGCGCAGGATTACAGGCTGAGCCACCGAGCCCAGCTCTGGCTAACTTATTTTTTGGAGATATGGGTCTCACTGTGTTGTTCAGGCTAGTCTTGAACTCTTGGCCTCAAACAAGCCTCCCACCTGGGTTCTCCTTAACTTTGTTTTTGACAGATTGCATTCCTATGAACATGATGGAAGAGATGCACCAAAAACCAGGCTTTTTTCTTCCCATAGTTCGTCTTATCAATGGTCACAGAAGCTTTTCGGTGAAATATTCAGTAATTACAGTAGAATTATGGAGGTGTGTTTTTACTTGCTAAAGCTCCACACCAGTATCATGCTTCATTGGCTCCATCTCTTCAGACTCATCCCTTGCTCTCTGGAAGTCAGCAAGGACACCAGGAGCACAACTCACAGTGTGGCAGCGTCCCTACCCCAGCCCACGCCTGTCTCTTCTCCACGATGAACAACACTTTACTCGTGTACTTTGTGTTCTCTCACCTCAGGCCTCTACCCCACACCAGGCAATAAACCCCCTCGTCCTTTGCAGAAACACAGAACCTTCTCTCCAGAAGCCACATCTGCTCACTTCAAGGTGTTCAACCCTGGCAGCAGCGCATCTTTCTGTCCTGGCTCCTTGTCTCCTGCCTCTGAGCTCCTCCAGGGCCCTGCCTGGGTCCCTCTGGTTCTGCTCTCCCTCCTGCATCCTCGATTTCCCTCCCCCACATCCTAGACCCTCCCCTCCAACTTCATCCCCACTACTGGCTCATTTAAGGAGCTGTTCGCATCCATAAGCCCCACTCCCTTGCCCCTGTTTTTCTTCAGCCATCATTGTTGTGGGTGCCCTGGCCTCCTCGGACCCTGGCCATTACATACCTGTCTGCGATGTAGCCGATGACCACCGAGCCGAGGAAGAAGCCCACGTTCACGCAGGACTGGAAGAGGTCCAGCTTCCAGGCATCACCACACACCAGGTTAAACTGCCGACACACCCACCAGGAGGGACCCAAAACAGAACCGTGCATGAGTCAGGACTGTGACCTCCCGTCTCCACTCAAGGGAAACGGATTTCACAAGGCCCTGGACTCCCTTAGAGTTGGCTCTTACCATATTTTCATAAGACACGAATCAAGGTTTTTGGTGAATTGTTCAGTAAACATCAATATACAGTAGAGCCTTGAACAGCACAGGTTTGAACTGTGAGGGTCCACTTATATGCAGATCTTTTTCAATAAAATTTACACCAAATGTGTCTGCTTCTCCTCCTCCCCTTCCACCTCCTCTGTCTCTTCCCCCTCTGCAAGACCAACCCCTCCTCCTCCTCTTTCTCCTCTTCTTTCTCCTCCACCTACTTCTTTTTCTTTTCAAGTGGGAGTCTTACTGTCACCCAGGCTGGAGTGCAGTGGCACACTCATGGCTACTGCAGCCTCAACCTGCTGGGCTCAGACAATCCTTCCGCCTCAGTATTACAAGTAGCTGGAACTATAGGTGCCACCATGCCCAGCTAATTTTTTTTATTTTTTATTGTAGAGACGAGGTCTCGCCAAGTTACCCAGGCTGGTCTTGAACCCTTGGGCTTGGGCAATCCTCTCACCTCCACCTCCCAAAGTGCTGGGATTACAGGCATGAGCCACCACACCTGGCCAATGAAGACCTTTTGATGATCCACTTCCACTCAGTGAATTGTACATATATTTTCTCTTCCTTGTGGTGTCATTTTAAGAATGCAGCACATAATACATGTAACATGCCGAGGCGCCTGGTCAACAGAAGACTATAAGTTGTTGTTTTTGAGGGGTCAACAGTGGGGGGGAGTGCCGGCACCACTCACTCCCTCATTCTAGGATAAACTGCAATCCCAACATCCTCCTACCACTCTCATCATGTTAATGAAAGAGGCTGTTGTCGAGTGCCTTGCCATTGATCGCTGGCTATCAAAGGACAGAGTGCCTTTGGGAAAAGGCAGCAAGAGCAAATCATCTTCTCAGAAGAGACATGGTTGCCAGGTGAGTTTTCTAAAAAGACATGCAGCCGAGTGATTTTCCAAAAACAGAAATGGAGCAAGAGAAACAGAAAATGTTTTCCAGAATTGCTCAGGGATCCTTCGTTAATTACATATTTATTATTGTATATCTGATTATGTCAGTCCCACCAGCAGCTATGTACATTCAGTCATCACTGTTAGGGCTATGAGTGGCAACCCAAGAAGAGGGAAAGAGACAGTGAGGGTGTATTGGGGACAATCAGCTTTCTAGGGTCATGTGGGAGGACTAAGAGGTAGGAAAGGACCAGAGGGTCCCATGCTCCAAGAGCCAGGGGAGGGGTCTAGGAAGGGGGACAGAGGAAAAGACCAGGTGTGGGCTGCCAAGAAGGGGTTGTTTTGTTTGGGGTTTTGCAGAAGGTAGATGCACACTGTGTTTAGAGGCCTTTAGAATGAAAACCAAGAGGGGGAGGCATAGAGCATGGGGACACTGGCATGTGCTTGGGCACACATAGACTGAGGCCATGGAAGCATGGTCTCTTCCTCTTTAGAGCTGAGAGAGGCAGAAAGGACAGACTCCCTGGAGACCAGAAGGCGGGGTGAGGAGGTGGGCTGGAGCTGGAACCACTTGTCTTCCCATTCCTGGCCAGCTCTTCCTGGGCAGTGTCCAGGGACACGTCCTTCTTTCCCTCCCTGTCCCTCTGACCCCAGTTTCCCAACCTGATACACACATACTGGCACCTGTCCTCTCACACTCACAGGGCGGCTGTGAGCACCAAGAGTGAGAAAGCATGTGAAAACGGCTTTGGTCAATAAGAAACCATTTTATTTTAAAAACTGAGATTTTATCGCTCCCTATCTCAAACCTCTGAAGTTGCAGCCTGAGCGGTGCCCACATCCCCTAGGGGGACAAACTCTCAGAGCCTTGGGGATTCCAAACAGCCAGCCTGGGTTCTGTCTGATGAACAGACTAGTTCCTTGACATGAGCACTTTTTCCTTGAAATACAGGTTCAACTCTGTGTTACTACCTGACCTTCAGAAAGGAATATGTCTGGCTGATACAGATGTGTACTAAAAAATTTTTTTGTAAAGGTCAGGCATGGTGGCACATGCCTGTAATCCCAGCATTTAGAGAGGTCGAGGCCAGAAGATTGCTTGAAGCCACCTGGGCAACGTCCCACCTCTACAAAAAATTAAACTTTTAAAAAAATAAATAAAAAGAAACTAGAATTAATTAATGTGAGCCTCTCCTAGTGACTGTCTGCCCACACCCATGGGTAGTTCAGCTATGTACTGTGTGTCAGCTACTACTCAGCATTGCTCTCACTCTCACTCTCTATCAGTCCCAATGTTTATTTGCTCTAGTATTCAGCTTAAAATATGCCTCCTCCAGGGAGCTTCTCCTGGGCTCACCCGATGCATAATTCTTTAGAGTGTGTTTCCTTGGGATTTCCTGCCTGCCCTATACTCTGCCATTAGGACACACAGGGACAGATCTTCCCTGGGAGTCATCTGGCTGCCCCTGGGTTTGCATCTCCAACTGCCCAACTGTCTCTGTGTAGCCTCCACCCATGTCTGTCACTCAAGGCAATGTTCTGTGTCCAAGTACGAAATCCCGCTTACTCTGCAGGGGTGGGAAGAGACGTGGAACTGTTACCCCTGGGCCCCAGTTGATTCCCTTGTGGACCATCGTCTTTTTGATGTTCGTCCTAATCTTTGCAAGTCAGTGTCTCTGTAAGGTGTTCCTGCTGCCCTTCCTGAAACACCTGGTTGCCATCTTGCCCTAGGACTGTGTGTGGAGCCAGAGAGCTTCCCAAATTGTAGAAAGTGCATCTCAGCCAGGCTTGGTGGCTCAGCCTGTAATCTCGCACTTGGGAAGCTGAGGTGAGTGGATTGCCTGAGCCCTGAGCCATGGGTTCAAGACCCGCCTGGGTCACTTGGTGAGCCCTCATCTCTACAATAAATCAAAAAATTAGCCGGGTGTGGTAGCGTGCACCTGTAGTTCCAGCTACTCAGAAGGCTGAGGCGGAAGGATCGGAGCCCAGCGGGTCGAGGCTGCGGTGGCCGGGAGCGGCCACTGCACTCCAGTCTGAGCGACAGAGTGAGACTCCAACTCAAAAAAAAAAAGAAAAAGAAAGAAAGTGCATCTCACCTCCTAATACCTGCCTCCAGAAGGCTGACTCTGTCCAGAGCTACACTGAGAGTCAATTTCCAGAGCCCCTGAAATGTTGTACACCTACCATGCTTCCTCTGAGCCCAAACTCAAGCCCAACCACTGTGCCTCAGGCACGTTTGTGAATACACAGGAGACAGGCTCAGCCGCTGGGAGAGACAAAAGGCAGAGACAGAGTGGGGACCCTGGAACCATTCCCTGCTCTTGCTGGGGTTTTGCCAGGGCCAGGGCAACTCCTTCTGGCCCAGTATACAAAACTATAAGACAATGTTGACCAACTCGCCTCAGCACAGGCATTACCCTGGGTCCTTGTCAAACTACAGATTCCCTGGGGATTCTATCTCTGTAGGTCACAAATAGGAATCCAAGTAATCTCAAGGACCAGGCAAGTTAGAGAAACACAGATGTAATGGCCTCTGTCTCACCTTGGCCTGAGACCCTTTCCCTCACTCAGCATTCATGGCTGATGGAAGACAGTGGTTCCCTGGCCCGGGGTGGGGGCTTTGGGTGAAAGAGCAGAACTTCTTGGTGGTACAGTTAAAAGTCAGGGAACACCCACACCCCTTCCCCAGTGGACCGGTGACCTCAGCACCTGAGCCTTTGGGTCGGGGTTAAACCTGGTGTTCAAACACGTTAGCTTGTTTTCTTTCCTAAAGCAAGTTCCAATGTCCAAGGCAATGCCAAGTTAAAAATTAGCTGTGCCGAAAGGAACAACCAAGGTTAATTCCCCAACAACAATCTTCAGTTCAGTTGGGGCTGAGGCAGTTTTAAAGCAGTGGGAAAGGGATTAAGATGGGGGAGAATTCCCACCCAGGACTCAGTTTCCATGGGCCTTCCTGCCAATCTGCCAGTAGGGGGTGCCCTTCACCTCAGAATATCCCCCATATGAGTCCCACCGCCCTTCAAACTCAGCTTGGCCCAATTGAAATCTTTCTCCTAAAACCATCCCATTGTCACTGTCCCTGTCCATAAGAGGTCCAGGATGCTTGTAGTACTCCCACAACTCTCTAGATCTGGGGGTCATTTATAGTCCCCTCCTTAGCTGCCACAGACTACTAAGCTGTTTTTTGGGGGGAAGGGGGGCTGGGAGGGGGTTGTTTTTTATTTTTTGTTTTGTCTGGAGTGCAGTGGCATGGAGTGCAGGGGCATGATCGTAACTCACCACAGCCTCAACCTCCTTGGCTCAGAGCAATCCTTGTGCCTTATTTCCCTAGTGATTGAGACTACAAGCATGCACCACATATCCAGCATTTTAAAAAAATTTTTTGTAGAGACAAGGTCTCACTATATTGCCCAGGCTGGTGTTGAACTCTTGGGCTCAAGCAGTCCTCCCACCTCAGCCTCCCAAAATGCTGGGAGTAGAGGCGTGAGCCACGACAACTTAACTGTTCTAAAACCCTCTCAAGGCCCTCATGTCTGTCTCCACCTCCTCATTCCTTTCTCCCCCTGAGGTTCCCCTTGCCTTCCTCTCCTGGGTTCCCAGCATTCTGCAACTACAGTCACCCACACCCCAGACTAGAACTCTCCACTAAACCAGGCCTCCTTTTCCTGAGCTCAAGCAGGGCCTGCATCTCTTACATCATTTCTTCCCTTCATTCCTACAACCACCACATCACGGACACTTGTCACCAAGGCTCTTTTCATAGCCTCCTCGTGCACCTCCCACTTCTCTCAAAGCTTCCAATCCCATGACTACCCTGCTTCCCACCCACTCATAAGGTCCAGCTGGGATCGTCTCACTGCTCTGTCTAAGTAAGGCCAAGCTCCTCCGTGTGGGACCAAGGCAGGCTGCCAGAGTGAGCAAATAAAAGTGCAGAGTGCCCAGCTAAATCTGAACTTCAGAGAAACGACATTATTTTTTGTGTATGTCCCATGCAATAGTCGAATTTCCAACCTCAGTTATCAGTTATCAAATATCATGCAACATCTGAAGTTCAAATACAACTGGCCATTCTACATTTTACCTGGCAACCCTACACTAAGGACCCCATGTTCTGGTCCCATGGTGAGAAACCACCAACATTCTCCCCTGCGACTCCTTCACAGGACCCTGAATTCAAATCAGTTTAACCATTCGTGGCAGCAAAGGGCCCTCTCCCCAGAGTCTCAGTTCAAGCTTTCCCCTTGGCCTGGGATCTACACACCCTCCCATCCATTCCCCCTCTTTGCTGGTCAAAATACCACCTGAGGCTCAGCTCAAATGTCACCTCCTCCAGGAAGATGCCCATGATCAGCTTAGCAGTTGAGATCTCTCCTTCCTTAGAGCCCGCCAGCATCTCTGCTCTGCTCACAGCACATGGCCTTGGACTGTCACTACATGGACACTCTGTCACCCCTGCCCTCCCCTCTCACTCTGCACACCCCCCTCCCCCTGCCATGAGACCCCAGACCCCTTGAGCGTCCTCACAGCCTTCTTTTCTGTTGTCCTCACAGCATAACACCCAACGCTGGTGCAGAAGGAAAGCTCAGAACACGCCTACTGGGTGAATGGCTGGGTGAGTAAATGAACAGAATGATTGCATCTGAGCACATCTCAGTCCCGAGGACAGACGCGTCCCATCTCGGTCTGCTTCTAGATACCCAGTGGGGATGCAGGACCATCCCTATCCCTGGAAGGCGAGCCACCTCACTTGTTATCTGTTGCTGGTGGAAGACTTGGAGACCAGATCTGCTCAACAGCTCGGACAGCGGGTGGCTCTCACTCCTGCCCAGTCCCAGGTAAGCAGGCAGAGCGTAGATCAGGCCAGAAGCGGGAGGGATGCTAGGCTTTCCCCCAGTGACAGCCCTAAATGTGTGGTCACTGAAACCACTAAAGAAAGGGAAGAGAGGAAGGAAGGAAGGAAACCTAAGACACTATGTGGTCTTGGGGGAGGTGGGGGTGGCGGACAGCAGGGAAGAGCCAGAAGTGGGGAGGACTCGGTCACCTCCTGTCTCAGGGAAGTAGTGATGTCGCCAAAACTAAACCATCACTAGGCAGAGAGCCTCTGCGTACTTCTGGCCCATGGCTTCTCCAAGTGACCAAGCACTCATACCTGTCACTGTGCAGCTCTGTGACTGAGCAGGACCCTGATGGGAAAAGACCTGGGGGCACTTTTCACTGAAAAAGTCTAAGAACAAAATGCTTAGATAACCAATCAGACTACCCAGGCAAGGCCCCTTGATGCTATCGTCCTATCTCACGGCCATGCACAGGCCTGCACAGTGTGACTCCGTTTACCTTTACTCAATGCTTTCACAGTTCCCAGCTGCAGCTCACACCCCTACGAGGCAGGGTATCATTATCTCCAGTTCACATATGAGGAAACAGAGGCTCGGGGGGCAGAGGGATGCTTGACTGGGACTCCACCAAACAGCCTAACTCCCAAGCCAGGCAATTCCAGACCACCTCGGCACCCTCACTTAGGTCACTTATCATCACCCTTGAGTGGAGTGGGCACCCACAAGACTAGTGGTGGGAAAGTAGACCCCAGGGCCAATTCAAAGGAATCTGGGAGAAGCCAGGAGGGCAGGAAGAGAGGACCCCCAATCTCCCTACAGACGCATGTCTAAACAATCTGGTTCCCTGCCTGTGCTGGGTGGCCTCTCTGAGCCTCAGCCTCCTCCTCAAACACCCAGCATCTCATGATCTCACTCATATAATGGACCTTGAACATCCAATGTAATACTATAAGAAAATGACTGACGGTACTGGGAAACTATGGTGGGGGGAGGGAGATGGGATTAACAGTAGCAAATATCTGTCTGGGGATTGGGAAACACCTCTTATCAACAGGGTACCTGAATGAAACGTAATTGTACACCTAACCCTTAACTGTACCCCACAAAACCATAATAAAAATATTGATTATGAAAAAAAAAAAGAATGCAGAGTGCCCAAGGCAGCTCCAGACAGCCTCAAAGTGCCCAGTAAACATGGCCCCTCCCTCATTCCTGATGTAAAACTGAAAAGGAGGATTTGCTTTATATGTTCCCCCTGCCGGAGACCTCCCACGTTACCTGAAATGCAAAGCCACTCTTACCTCGGTGACAATGGAGGAACCATTCGTGTCATACACCCAGCCGTCCCCACAGGGTCCCAGCGGCAGGTGGCTCCTATTGGTGGTCAGGTTGGCCAGGGGGTCCATGCAGCCCAGAGTGCTCTGGTTCCAGTCTACCTCATAGCGCCAGCACTGGCCAGGGGAGGCCTCACCCACGGGCCCTGGGCCGGGCACCGTGTAGTTCAGCTCCTCGGCCAGGCTCCAGCCACAGCGCTGGCTCAGCTCAGCCACTCCGGGGCTCCAGCAGCGATGGTCAGGGATGAAGCCCAGGAAGACGATGCCCACATAGATGGGTGCAAAAGCAGCTGAAAGCAGGCATAGGGTGACGAAGGCCTGCTTCTGGAACCAGCCAAACTCCCCAACCTGCTCCAGAACATCGTCCACAGTGGGCATGATGGGTCAGCTACTTCATGGCCATGGCCAGACCAGCTCTGGGCTGCCGTGGCCGGGTACAATGTCCATCCTGGAGATCTTCAAAAAGAAGTGGCTTGAAATCAAGCTGCTGTGCAATTTGGAAAGCAACCAACTAGAATAATATTTTACCCCAGAAGCTGGTCTCAGGGCAAGGGGAAATGCGCGAGACTGACTGCCAAGGGGTGTGCTTTGCCAGAAAGAGATGCCATGGCCCCAACCCTGAGAACCAGAACTCACCGGTAGGCGAGAACAGGAGAGGGCGCAGAGCGAGCCTCCTAGGTGTGTTCTCGGGCTCTGGCAAAGAGATGGCCTACTCAAGAGCTTCTTATAACCCACATAAATCAAAGAGAGCAAATTGGCCACCTGGCACAGGCACAGGGTCTTTGAGATGCTGCAGCCCACACTCCTGTCCCTGGGGCCACCTCTGTACCCCCAGCACAGCCTGGCCTCCACTGAGTCACGGTGGGGAAATAGTGTGTTTGCCCTTCAGGTCCTGGTTCTGTTAGTTTCTGAGGGATTTAAGGCCAGAAACTGGTGGAAAAGGGACAGTGAATGACCACAGACCAACACACTGGAGCCCAGCTGTGAAATGGCCAGGCCAATCATGAACCTCAATATTAAAACATCAACCTCCATTTGGAGGCATCTCCTCAGGACTAAGTGTTTATGATCTAGTTGATTTTTACAACAGCCTTCAAGGTCAATGCTGTGACCCCATTACAGCTGGGCAAATAGGGGCTTATGGAGGTGAATGTCTTTCCAAGTTTGCACTGTTACTGAACTTGAACCTTGTTCTGCCCTAGAGCAAGATCTCTCTCTGAATGTATGAACTTGCCACCCTGGGGACTCCTCATCAGCTCACTTGTTAGTTCCTTTGTCCATTTGACTAATCCGTATTGAGTCCCTATACATTTCGAGCCATGTACAAGGCTCTGGGACACAGTCCCCAACACCAAGCAGCTTACAGTTCTGTGTGGGAGACAGATTTGCAAAGGGACAATCACCGGGGTTGTGACTATAGTAACACAGGGCAGTGGAGGCCCCACAGCCCAGCATGCGCCTTACACGGTGAAGGGAGGAACAGGAGGTGGGAAGGAAGACAAGAGGGTGTGACAGACCAGGTGGCCGCAGACCCCTGCCTCTCAGCTGAGTGAGCAGAGCCCATCACTGGCTAGTAACCAAAGAAATCACCAAATGTCATGGACAGCACCTCTCTTCCTTCCTGGCTTTGATGGAGCCAGTGGCCCTATAGAGGGGAGACCCACATGACAAGGAGCTGAGGGCACCACTGCTGACAACGAGTGAGACACTGAGACCCTTGAGACCCTGCCACTGGAGGGACTGGAGGGACTGAGTCCTGCCAACACCCCCTAACACCCCCCATGAGCCCAGAAGTGCACCTTTCTCCAGAAGAGCCCTATGATGCAGCCACCACCATAGTGGACACCCTGACTGCAGTGACCCTCCCACCCCACAGAAACCAGGAGATGCAGAGTACACATGCTTTGCACAACCTGGCTGTTGGTGATGTGTGACGTGGCAGTAGACAAGAAAGCTTGGGGCTACTGGGAGTCCCAGGGCAAGGGTGTGGCCCACAGGGGTGAGCTGGTACTGCCCACTGTCTGCAGCCTCTCTTGGGGTCTGTGGCTATGATTATGTTCTCACGTGTCCAGCTGCCTGACAGCAGCTCCCTGGGGACACGAGTATCAGCTGACCTCGGAGGCCAGGGCATCGTGGCTGGGCAGGTCTAGGGCCAGGCACGGCAAGTCTTCCCTCTGCCCTCTGGTCTCTGCTCCTGCCCCATGACTGTTCTCTGTCTGGCAGGGCGAAGACAGATGGGCAGCCTGCCAGGTCCCCTCAGGCTCCAGGCTCCATCCTGGGTCACCCTGCCCTGCTTCAGGGAGACACAGAGCCTGAATCTGCTCACCACAGACAGAAATAGAAGCCAGGCTGCCGAGTCTTCCAGCCTCACCCAGAAATAGGTTTCCAGTTAACTGGTGCCCCCCACCCCCAGGTGTGTGGGTCTGACTGGATCATGTGGCCCATCCACGTTCCACACTGAGAAGCCCCCCACTCTCCAGCAGACCCACTGGCTACTGCTTGTCCCTGTCCTGGATGTCCAGAACACACCCGGGGCTCCCACATGTGCCATTGCTTCCCCTGGGCAGGCTTCTTGCTGCCTGATTTCAGAACAGCCCAAGTTCGCCGGGAAGCTGGACCACGGTGCCAACCCTACACACGGGCAGGATGCTAGAGAGCTTTGGCTCAGAGCTGCTGATAGAAGGCATCAACATGTCACCAGGCAGAATACATCATCAGTCCTGGGATGGCATGGGACACAAGGTTTATCTGTCCTTTCACGTACACACAGGAGGGACAGATAAACTCACGCAGGATGCCAGGTGTCCCTTTCACTGCTGAGACTCTCATTTGTTTGCTCCATGGCCCTGGGAGCTGGAGCCTTGAGTTCAATAGCTCCACGGGCCAGTGTGGTCGAAGGTGTGCCCATCTCAGGGGCTGCAGCTCCAAAATCCCCCCTCCTGGCGAGTTTTCTTTGCAAATGCTCAGCTGTTGCCAAGGGAGGGCCTGGAGGGCACTATCCAGAGGGCTGAGGATGCCCTGAGAGGGAGGGAGAGGATCTGGGCACACCTTCCACAGAGGCAGTTGGGGCACACTCAGAGTCAGCTGCCTGCCTTTCCACCAGACCCGACATGCCCACTGCCCTGACACCAGTGCCCTGAACATACTTGAGAAGCAGCCAGGATGCAAAGGTCCTGCTGTCAACACACTCTGGGGAGAAAACAGAACCCTCTTGGCTCCACCTCCCCAAAGCCCAGGCCAGGCCAGGTCTGGAGCCCACTTTCTGGAGTCCACACTTACCAGTCTCTCTCTTTTGCTTGGCCCTCACTGCTCCCATCCCATGTTTCAGAGTCAGGGAGGGATGGCTGAGGAATCTAAATTGGAATGGAGAGAAGCAACCGAGAGCCGAGACCCACTGAGAAGGGCTCATGGCCGGCTCCCTAACCGGGCATCTGGGATGACAGACCAGGCTCCCTGCCCAGCCTCTGCTCACCACCTGACAGAGCCCATGAGTTACCCACACACTGTAGATGACAAAGCAAGGACCAGGGGACAGATCACCTGCTCGAAGTCACCCAGCTGGCTCCTGATCAAATCTCAATAAAAGAATTCGCCCAAAGCCCTGATTCTCCAAAACTCTGTGTGCTGCCCCTGAATTCATCGAATGTCCAAGGGGACAGATCTCAGGTGGGTCTCTCTCACCTGGTCCAGGCCTTACACCTCCTGTGGCCTGGATGGAGATGGGGTAGAGCCAGCTCTGGGAGCTGGGGCAGAGGCAGAGTCCCTTGGAAACAAAGGGAAAGAACAAATTGGGTTCAAGTCCAGATTTGCAGGTGGATTGTTGGTCGTGAAGTGGCTGTCAGCACCTGAGGCAGCCAGTCCTGCCCCGAGGACTGTAATGTCAGAGCCATGGGGAAGCACACATGAGAAAATCAGCCAAGATTCAGCAGTAGTCACTGGGCACCAAGTCTGCTGCCCACTCGGTGACTCCGGGTATAGGAGGCAGCTGCCTGGGGTGGAAGTCTCTACTCCTGCCACTGGGTACCCTCCCCCACTCTCAGAGTTGTGCGTAGGCCCCTGCAGTCTGTCCTGGGCTTTGGAGGTTGGCTATTTCCTCCTCTGTGCCTGTCAAGAGAAGACCACTGTGGTCCAAGGAACCTGAACAGAACCTCTCTCACAACCTCAGAAGGAACTAGTCCAGAGGCTGAGCACAGTGGCTCATGCCTATAATCCCAGCACTTTGGGAGGCCAAGGCGGGAGGATCACTTCAGGCCAGGAGCTCAAGACCAGACTGCAACATAGTGAGAGCTCATCTCTACAAAAAATAAAGGATTAGCCAGGCATGGTGGCATTTAACTGTTGTCCCAAATACTTGGGAGACAGAGTTGGGAGGATTGCTTAAGCCCAGGAGTTTGAGGCTGCGGTAACAGAGTGAGACCCTAAAAAATAGAGGATCCAACCCCACTAGCACCTCGATTTGGGGCTTTCAGACTTCACAACTGTGAGATGACAAATTTCTGTTGTTAAATCCCCCAGTCTACGGTACTTTGCTACAGAGCCCTGGCAAGCACATCCAGATAGAGGTCCCGCATGCTCACAGCCTCCTGGAGGAGCCTACACTGAACAGACACAGGGAGGCTGTCCCCAGGAGGTGAGGGGCTCCAGTCGGGGCCTCATCTAGGTTGCCTCCACCTGCTTTTGGTCTCTGCCAGACACTACACTTCCCAGCCTGTTGGGAGCCGGCCCCGGAGGCCCACCTGAACGTTAGGGATCAAGGTGGGCTGTAGACCCTGAGACCACTAGGATGTGTTCAGGAGCTGTTGGCCCATTTCCTCTTCCCTTTTTTGGTACTTAGCACATCTCATTAGAAGGAACTTTGATGATCTAAGCATGAAGCTCTGAGAGTACGACAGGCATGGCTTACTTTAGGAGTCCATTGTTCCCGTTTCTCACAGACTATGGTTTCGGCTTTAAACTTAACATAATTCAAACTCAGGTCACATTTGGGAACCTTCTATTCGGTACAAGCATCTTTATAAGATTTAAAAGTATATTTGTAGAATTAGTATATACATATTGAGAGCTGTTTTCAGCTTTAGATGGTATAGATGATTATCTAGAGTTACCAGAAATGGCCCAGCACGAACTTTGGACTGGGCCACATTCCTAAGGACCCAGCACGTACTTTGGTCTGAGCTGGGCTGCATTCTTTTAAACTGGTTTTAGCCACAGTTAGTGTAGGGTTTTTCTACTTATTATAGAAATTGAATTTATTTTATTCATAGAAAGTATTGTAGAATAGGTTATGCTACGTCAGTGAATTATGTTAGTTCAAGCATGATCGAACATGATATTTTGAGGTTTAATAAGAATACAGCTAACTTTAGAAATTTCATTGTTCCCATTTTCTACTATTGTGGTTTTGGCCGTTAGTACAATTTACAGTTTATATTTGGGTTTTA